TGATCCTGCTTCTTCCAGAAGCAGTTGAGAGTTGGCATGTTGTTGGCGAAAGCCAGATGTAGTGTTTGTAAGGTGGAGATGGAAGGAATGGCAGGTGGTGGAGCTGGTGTCTGCTGCTCTTCTGTGCTGTCTAATCTAATGGTTCTGATTCGTCAAGAAAGCTGTATTAAAGAAAACTTATGCTGCGATAAATCTCTTCATTGTTAAGATGCCACAGCACTCTTGTTTTTACTTTGGAAGTCTAATACTGCTGCCCCTCCAGAATTTACTTCCTAGCCTTGAAGCTATTACTCACCATACTTTGCTTGATCAAGTAGGAACGCATTTTGTTTCTTTCTTTCTTTTTGTAAATCCCTGAAGGGATATTTTAATTTTTGCAATAAACTACAAAACTACAAAGAAAATATTAGGGAGGGAACTACATCTAGGGATAAAGAATAGATAACCATACTATACTAAAACCCCAAGAGGAGGAGATCTTATCCCTGTTAGTGTAAGTGTTAATACTATAAGTGTTAGTATCACAATATACTTGTAGAGTTCTTGTTTATCTCAGCTTCAATGTTTATGTGTTAATATGTTAGTTGTTATGAGATAATTTTATGATCATCTTCTTGTTCTTTGCTTCAAAAGGCTATTTTCTGAGTCCTTCTGCCTTTACTTCGGCTTTCTGTCTCTAAAGTCATATACAACTCTGGCAGCACCTGCTCCCGTTTCTGCAGCAGAGTCCTCTTCCATTCCAGAGGTGGCAGAGTCACTAGATTTCGTTTCCTCTTCCTTGGACTCTTCCTCCGTTCCCAACTGGCGCTGCAAAACCTCTTTAGCTTTGAAAGTGGAGTCTATCTTCTCTCTTTTATCGTTGATCTTAAAGATGACACCCTCTGGAATCGCCCACCTATACGATATTCCATTGGTTTGAAGGAAAGAAATTAAATCCTTATAATTTTTCCTCTTTTGTCGGATTTCAAATGGAATATCTTTTAAGGTTTTGATGGTTATAATTCCCATTTTCAGTGGAGTTGCTAATGTCGCTTTTAAGATAGCATCTCTGGTCTGTCTTCTTGAGAATCTGACCACGATTTCTCCAGGCAGGCTATTTTTTTTAATATAATTGGAGTATGCCCTATAGGCCATCTCCATTTCTTTTACCAGCTCATCCGCTGTTAAGCCTATTGCTGGAGTGATGATCTCGCTGAGCAACCTCCTCAGGTCCTCCTTCTCTGCTTCAGGAACTCCCTGGAACCCTAGAATTATGTTAGCTTTTTCCATCTGTAGTTGCAGCAAACGGCTTTCTTGAAAGTTTTTCTTTGTTTCAACTTCTCCCATTCTTTTCTTCAATTTCTTACTTGTGGTGTCTATCTCTTTAATTTTCTCAGTTGCCTGCTCCACTTTCTTCTCCATTTCTTTCAGCTGGAGCTGCTGAGATGCAAAGTTCTTATTCATCACGGTCAATTGCTGGTTAATACCATCTAGTTGCTCCATCACCGGCATGAGCATATCCGCTAGCATTTTAATTGCTACCTTTTCTGGTTTTGGGCTCTGGCTGCCTGGCGGTTTCGTTTTCAGCTTTCTTTGCTGGGCTGCCATTTTCTCCGATTTGTTTATAGTTTCTAACGTTTCTTCCCGGCTCGAAAAATCGCCCCACGATGATGGTAATCAAGTAAGTCTCTCAAAACACACTCGTCGTGTTTCCTCCCCTCTCCCCCTTCATATCGTTTATCAGTTCATTCACATAACAGGCGTCCCTCTTTGTGTCCGCTTTTATCAGAGGGGGGGAATCCGCTTTTACAATAATCCGGTTTATTCTGAACTCACGTTCATTGTCGGTCAGTTTCTCTGACCTCGCTCACTTTAAATGCCATTCCGCTTGATCTCCGGTGCTTGTCCCGGTCAAACCAGCTAGTGCCCAAAGGCCACACAGCATCTGGACCATCAGGGCGGAGGGGAGCCTCAATTCTCTGGCATTATGCCATCGAAGAGACTACTCCTCAAAAGCCCTCTGGCCTGGAGCCTATTACAAAGGCTCCGTGGGGGTGTCACTTGAGGTGGCACCCCTCCAAGCCGCTGGTGTGCGGATCGCTCTCCTGCGGTTCGGGGAGAACGTCCGCCATTGCTGCTCCATAAACTGGAAGTGGAACACATTTTCCCTTGAAGTATTTGTGTATTGTTTGAAATTCCTTGTTCAACTGGATTATTTAAAATTACACGACTTTCAGGCCATTTTATTTATTCAAAATTCATATCCTGCCTCTCAGTAAAGTGAGCTTCCAGATATGTTGGTAATATTTCATGAAAAAGATTCAAGAATCATTTAAAGAAAGTTAAGATCATTTTAATGTTCCAGCCTATCAGAAAACAGTTCTGTTCTCTGATACGCAGCATGAGCCTGAGTAGAACATTTTTAAAAGTTCAGCAAGTGTTTTTTATTACAGTGAAGAATTAAGCTGTGGCAAAGGTATGCTAGAAGTAGAATCAGCTAGAATGTCAGCTGCTTTTACAACATGATTTACTATTTAGTGCAGTAATATCAAATTATCATAATGAGGTCAAACTTGGAATACTTTCAGAATGTAGAATATGCATGAAGACTGTGCAGAAACATTAGCTGAGCAAGTACATTATCTTCAGGAGCAAGATTCTAGAGAAAAGCTTGACCCACAGATCAGTATGTTAGATTACATTTTCTGTACCACTATATTTTTTATTTGATCCTCACAACAACCCATTGAGAAAGGTTAGTCTGAGAGTATGTGATTGGCCCAAAGTCACCTGGTGAGCTTCCACAGCACCTGGGTTTCCCAGATTCTAGTCAAAAACTCTAATCACTACACCATGCTGGCTTTAGTTTAGGATATGAATTTAGGATATGAATTTTGAATAAAGAGTCACTGAACTTTGCAACTTTACTGAGGACGCTTTGGCTAAACAATCTTTGGAAGGCACTTTCTGGACCGGAAATTATTATCAGTGAAACATGTTATGTGATTGCACCTTTGGAGGCCTCATTTATACTTTTATTCTGTGCCTAGTGGTTTCACCTTGGAACAATTCTTTTCTGGTCCTTCTTGTATCTGTGTTACATAATTGTATGATTGGCTTGTACTATAAGCCAATATGCTCCTCATTATGTTTGACCTCTGAAGAAGGCCTATACAGCCCGAAACGCATCAGGTCAAGTCCATTGGCCCTTGTGTGCTAAATATTGGCATTTTTGCATGAGGTGTGATTGGGCCCTCATATGCTTTTTAATTCTTTGTTAATAAATAGATGTACCTTTTCATACGATATAATTAAGTTTTTATTGTTGGCCCTCTATTCTTTTAGACTTACCTTTTTAGGTTCTGGAACCCAGGTTTCAGGGTTAAGTTTCCCCCACCCCTTTTTTTGTCCCTTGTTTAGTAGGTGGTTGCCATTGAAGATTAGCAAGCAGCCAGTCCTGTGTGAGTCTTGTAAGTTGTGTAGTAACACACTGTTTAGTGGCTGCTGCTGGGCCTGGCCCTCATGAGTTGTCCCTCAAAGGCCAAAACAGCCCTGGAAAAGGCCCTTCCCCCCTGCTTTTTTTGCTGACAGAGACCAAGGCTTGAAGCCTTGGCAGTACAGTTGTGGTGCCTAGCAGTGGTCACTTGGGGCATCTTTTTCTTAAAGCTACAGGTGCTTCTTTTAGTTGGGAGTCTGAACTCCCTAGTGTACTACACTTGATTTGATCTTAGCCAAAGATCTACAAACTTGGGATTTTCTCATGTATATAGAAAGATCTGTCTTGTCTGTCCATGGCTCCAGTTTCCAAATGCAAGTATCCACTGATGAGGCAGTGTTGAGAATTAGGCATATTGATACACAGTAGTGTAATCCACTGAGCCAGTCTTTTTATTAAAGTACCTTCTTGAAGCAGCCCTGTAGCCAGAATTTTTTTGGTTGGGGGGGCACATGGGGGCAGACCAGAACCAGCAGAGTTATTTCCCTTTCCTTCTTCAGCCTCCCTGCCACAGTGGGGGCTGGGGAAGGGGGGGAAGAGAGAGAGAGAGAGAGAGAGAGATGGCATGCATTCTCTCTGCTTCCCTAGCTCCCCCCCCCGCGGCAGGCGGGCGGAGGTTGGGGGAGGAAAGAGAAGCAGCCCTGCTGCTTCTGGTCAGTTTCACTCCTTCTCCATCAGCTGTTAGGTGTAACAGTTGATGGGGGTTGAAACTGACCAGAAGTAGCAGGGCAGCTTCCCTGGAAGTGCTGGTGAGGCTGCAGAGGGGCAGGGGTAAGGGGCGCAGTGCACTGGGGGTGGAGTAGGTCTCATCAGTGGCAGGGCTCTGCCCCCAAATGCCCCACTGTGGCTACGGGCCTGTCTTGAACCACTGCATTGTAATATATCCCTATTTATAAAAATGCCTTCCTGAAGAATTCTGTTTTGCATAGTTTGTGGAATGCCAGAATGCCTTCCTGACTTTCTCACGCATGCTATTCTATTGGGGGGGGGGCGGCACAACAGAAAATGGACATGTGTGGGCAGTTGTTGATCTCACCCATTTGCAGGGTTTAAATAGAATCAGATTAAGTTCTTAAAGCTGATGTGTGAAGTCATAGGTTGCAGCTAGGGTTGTTAAATGTTGTGGAGAACATGTCCTGTCTTTTTAATAGAGCCAAGAGATGATGTTTAACTCCATGCCATGAAAAGCTTCAGCTGTCCATTTCCACAAATTAAACCTCTATTAAAGACTCAGGACATTTTTTTCGCAAGCCAGTTGCCAACCCCAGCTGCAGAGTTTACTCCTGTAAACTAGAAAAATATGCTTTTCTGAACATCTTTTGCCTTATAGGGTTACGTCCAAAGAACCGTGTTGTTTTGAAAATATAACTATTACTTAGGTAAATCTATTACATTCTGGCAAAGGTACAGCAAGGGGAAAAGTACAGCAAGGGGAAATTGCTGTCCAAATGTTTTGGAATAGTTTCATGATTCCTTTCCTCAGTGCCCACAAGGGAAAAACTCACTGATGTATTTTGTTATCTAGTACCTTATCGCAGCAGTAAACACCAGTGGAAAGGAAAGGCTCTGTAGCAAGACAATGGCTGGCCTCTGAACAAGGGAATGAATTTTGAGCCAAAGAACCATCCATGAAGCCAAGTACTTAATCCGAGGTGTGGCACCAATTCAGGCACCTCTGACCTACACGGTAGTAACTTCCTCCTTACTCTTATTCAGATCTTGGAACCTAGCAGTATATAATTGTTTTAAATCCTCTACTAGATTTTGGGGAGGGAAACCCTTTTGTTTTAAAGATTCATTAACTCAGGCCGCGTTCAGACTGGTAGTTTGGCCTGGCAGGCAAACGTTTGAGGAGCGTTTCAGTAGCGGATTAAAGGGGTGGGTTCACACAGGCTCATGTTTCAGGCGTCCCCAACCGTACTCAAGTCGTCTTGTACCACTTCCCTCCCGAGTTTAAAAGATACCATGTTAAAGTGGTAGCAAACCGCAGCGCGTTGATTCCGTTTCCCTGAGTGTGAACGCAAGCTTTGCTAAGGCGGGAACAACCCGCAGTTGATAATAGGTGGCAGCTGGTTCCGCAGCAGGTGCATGTGCGCACATGCACACGACCGGAATGTTCCGGTGTGCCGAGTGGAAGTGTGGAGTCGATCTTGCCCTATTTGCTGATGTGCCCATGTGCATAGGCGCACACAGCCGAGTACGGAAACCACACTAACAGCCCGCCAGGGGCAGCTGACAGTGCGAATGCTCCCTTGCGCTTCCTCCACGGTATCATTCACTGCAGTGTGAACGGGAATACCGGGAACAAGCCGTTCCAGATGTATTCCAGTTTTTCTTTGCCACGACTCCCTAGCACTTCAAATTGCCAGCCTGAACTCGGCCTCAATGTTAGGTTGTGGTTTCTACATAATTTAAATAGTGGAAGTAAGTTGGCCAGCATCTTTTTCTGATGTTACCTCTTCAGTTCTAAGGTATTTCAAACGTATGTGACAACATCTATGAGCTAAGTAGCTTTAAAAAGCACATTTAGCAAATAAATAATCCATAACAAAGTGTAGCTGGAGTAGTTTGGGTAGGCTTGCAATTTGCCTGCCTGTGGCGGACAAACCCCTGCCCTTGGCCCCTATACTCTATGCTTGAAGATGTGAGGGGCAGGAGAAAAAGTGGGGGAAGGAAATATTGTTGGTGGTGACACTCTAGGAATTTCTCCACTGACTATGGCTAGCCTAATCTTGTCAGATCTTGGAAGCTAAGCAGTGTCAGCCCTGGTTAGTATTTGGATTGGAGACCACCAAGGAAGTCCAGGGATGCTATGCAGAGGCAGACGATGGCAAACCACCTCTGAACATCTCTTGCCTTGAAAACCCCACCAGGGTCGTGTAAATCAGCTGTGACTTGATACTTTCCACCACCACTGATGTTGAGACCTGGAAGTGATATCACAATAATCTGTGATGCTCTAGGAATTTCCCCATTATCTGCCTTTTGATGTAGGCCTGCGTATCTCATTAACAAACCTTTTGCCATTTTTATTAGCAGAAGCTATTTAGAGGAAGTGACTATATATTGTGTGGGCCAATATGTGTCTATGGTACATCTCTATATATTTTGTGCCGAAAACCACACTGTACCCAAATCTCTGCATGATCTCTCTCAGAGTATGCAATGTCATAAATGGTGAACAGATTTTCCACTCACTGCACCAATGCATACTTTTGCAGTGTTCTGCTTTTTTATGGCAGTGAATGGCAACTATTGTCTTGTACATGAGAAGAGAGAGGTGCTTTCAGGAATGCTGCTGGCATGTGAAGCTAAACCTGGTTTCTGCCCCAGTGGAATCAGACCCTGAAAATCAGGCTTGAAAATCTGAAATAGCCTCCCCTCTTTATCTGCCTAACCCCATCTTGTATTGTGTTTCTTGGCCACTCAGAAGTGTGATAGAAGCTTGAATTGATACCAGAATGTGTGTGGGGGCATAGATCAGATTATATAAATGCTGTAAAGGAAACCTACAAAAGTATTTTGTGGATAGTCTGTTGGATGTACTCCTGTTGTACAAATTGGCACAATCCTGTAATGATTTTCAGAAATGGTGTATTCCATCACTTGAACAAGAGACCCAGGTTACTTTGTAGACAGTATCCATTTGTAGCAGAGATATTTGTGTCGATTTAGTGCTTATGTGGTACCATGGCTCCCCTGTGTGAGATGATTGCACATCTTCCATATGCTGCATGGAAAGGGTTCCCACATAGTCATAAGACCTCTTGAAATGAAGATTAAAAGTGGATATCCTTGAGGAGTTCTATGAGGGAAAATGTGTGCGTGTTTAAATTACTTATTAATGTTTTTTAGTATTGCTTTGCAAAATAAGTTTTTTTTCTTTTCAGTCATTTAGACCCTGTTGAAATATTACAGCAATGGACCCAAGAAATGAGAGTATTGTTCCCAGTATCACTCAGTTGGAAAATTTCCTTACAGAACATGACTCAAATGTTGTTTGGCTCCTAGTTGGTATGTAGAATTTGTTGTTAGCAATAGTTCAATTGTATAGGTAGGATACCCTATTCTCTCCAGTGTAAAAAACAAACTCCAAACTTCTCCAATCAGTTAATTTCAAAACAGAGTTTAACTAAGCAGTCATAATTATTGGCCTCATATACTCTTCCCCACTCCTCTCCCTACCAAAAGAAAAATAGGTTTCTACTTTTGATATGATGACATAAACAAATGGCAGCTGTTGGTCATAACTACTGCTACTTTAGTTCCTACGTTGGACATTAGAGAAGACCTTCAATAATGATTCATCTGTGTGTTGTATAGATAAATAATGGATTTCCCCCCTTAAAATCCAGTAGAGCATATGGGCAGATCTGCATTTTTTAAAAATAGCAGCTCTTGCATCTTCAGCAGTGGTTTGTCTTCTGGCTGAGTAACTGGCTGTTACAAAGTTAGTAGAGAGCCTTATCTGCCCGTATGTGTACACAGCTCATTGGGTTATGGCATTGCCAGTGCCTGGGTTGGAGGGTTATTATAATGTGTAAAACAAGTTTGGTATTACAGCTACAGCTTCTGATATTACTGTTTATTAAAATGAGCCTTTTAATTTGCAACTATAAACTTGTATAAGGCATATGTTAATTTCTTTTACAGCTACAATTTTGTCCTGTGGCTGGATTATTTATCTAACCTATTACAACTCCCGGAACATTGGATTTGTTTTAACGTTTGTCCTTAACAGATTGTATAAAAATGGCTACATTCATATTGGTAAGTCTTCTTTGTGTTAATATAAACACCTTAGAATAAACACTATACTGTTGTGGTAATAATACAGGCCCAGATTTAAGGCCTTTTATTGCAGTAAAAAATACAAGAGAGCAAACTAAATGTACATTTGTACCATTGATATCAACAACTATACTGTTGTGGTAATAATACAGGCCCAAATTTAAGGCATTTTATTGCAGTAAAAAATACAAGAGACCAAACTAAATGTACATTTGTACCATTGACATCAACAGGACTTAATTTTTCTTCATTTTGGGTAAAGTGTTTGTGTATTTAATACCATTGATGGTATACTGATCAGAAACCTTACTTTAAATGCAGGTTCCTTTTCCTTCTCTGTCCTATCTGGAAAAGTCATGGTTCGAGAAATCTATTACATTACACCAGACATGTCTATCAGGTACTTAACTTGTTTGTTTACCAGTTATTTCAGATCTGCAAGTTGTAGTGCTTATTCACAATAGACAAGATTGCCCTCAAACAATGATACAGCTCAAGTGGTGCTTTTCACTCGAACATCTGTACTGGTGCAATAAAAATGAAAACCATAGGGTCAGATTAAATATAATTCAAAACAACCTGTTGGCAATTTTCACTGTATTTGCCCTTTTACTAACATTGTATAGATCAGTGTTTCCAGTGCGCATTCCAATATTAATTTCCCTGAAAATAAATGTGACCATTAGTATTCTCTTCTGCACAACTTCCCCCCCCTCTCCACTTTGATTAATCATATGTCATTTAGGAAGGACTCCCATGAGTGTCTATATAAGGTTTAATGCAAAGGAACAAGTACTTATTTTCTGTTAACAGAAACTCTAATTAAATGTAAGTGTATACTAATGTTATTGGGAAAGAACAATGCAAAAATATGGTCCCCTTTTTATTTTTCAATAAAAGGATAGCAGTCTTCCCTATGCCATTTGTTCTTAACTCTGGTTCCATGACTTGGCTTAGGTTAATGGAGAATAGACGTCAGTTGGAAGGTTAGAATGGTCCTTTCAGGTTCTTAGAAAACGGATTAAAAATTATGATTCTGTAGTGGTTGTTGCTGTTTTATAATTCATTATATAAGACATGCAGCAATAGTTATTAATATCTCTAATTATGTAAACATGTGTTTTAGAATCCAAGATGGATTTCTTATATTTCGTTGGTGGAAGATGTACAATCCAAAGCAGAAACAGCATGGTAAGTTATCTCCAAAGCTTAATACATTTAAAAGGTGTAATGTTTTAATGCTGAATTTTCTTTCTGAACATTCCCACATGTTTCAGGGGACACATACATCCTAACATCAACCTGAGACTGACTTACATAAAGGGCTACCTCTCCTATTATGAACCTGTGTACCAACTTTGTTCTTCTCAGCCATTTTTTCTTTCTGTTTTTCTGCCCAAGGCCTCATCCCAGTTGTTCATATGGAGCAGATTTCTAGAAGATGTTAGGGGGATTCCCACCCCATATTTTAGGAAGTAGTGTTTTGTTTAGGAAGATGGCTGCTGAGTTTTTTGTGCCCATTTTTTCAGGTTGTTACAGATTGAGAAATTGCTTTTAAAAGTGGTTGCCTCTTCACTTTTTACAGTAAATTCACAAACATTTTATGGCATAGTGGGCTTATTTATCCTACTGCAGCTTTACTATTGAACACATTTTAATGGGATAATATTTTACTTCATTGATTATAGTAAGAAGTCAATAAATTATCACATTGTGTGATATATATAAATACACACACACACACACACACACACACACACACAACTTGGACCATGTGAGTAATTGCTTGGGGTTGGGGGACAACTGTTCAGATCCCCCTTATTTTCCCTTCCAGGATTTTTAAGTTCTTAGGCTGGTCTTCACTCATCCTATTGTCTTTTAGCTGTAGGGATGCCAGACCCCCCCAGTGGGGGTCCTCCACTTCCAGGCCCCACCTCTCCACTGCTGATCAGCTGGCTGGCGGGGGGACTTACTACAAAAAAAGGGAGTCTCACCTGACATTTCAGCAATGTCCCTGACATGACTCCAACATGACCTGGAAGTGATGTAGGCACATCAGGGACGTTGGGGCGACGCTCTGGTTTTTGGGCAAAAACTCTATGGTAGAAGCTAATTCTACCATAGAGTTTTTGCCCCAAAACCAGAGCATCATCCCAACGTGCCTATGTCACTTCCTAGTCACATTGGGAATATTGCTGAAACATCAGGCGAGACTCCCTGCTCCCAGTAAGCCCCATCCTCTGCCAGCTGCCACTTTCGCTGATTTTCATCTGCTCTTAACATTTTGTTCATTATGGAACATATTTAGTTCTCATTAGGCTGTTTTTTCCCTCCTGCATACCTCGAGGAGCCCCCTGTGTAGTTAGAAAGGTATACCTACCTATCTGTAGCCCAGGGTTGTTTTTTTGCTTTAATCAGTATCTGGTGGGCAGCCAGTTCACTATTACATAGGGGTGGATCCGACCAGATTTTTCACTGGTAGAAAAGTAAGGAACCACTCAAAAAAGTTATGCTCATGAACATGGGTCCTGCATGGACAAAAGCCACGTAAAACCAGGACTGAAGAGAATTGGGCGAGATGGAGTGGGAAAGCTGGTTGGATCTACCTTATATGGATTGACAAAAATATCCAGAAGTACTGGAGGGGAAAGAAATTCAAAATGAATGCCGTGTTTTGAGTATAAGGCAGAGGACTTTTTGGAGGGGAAGGATAAACTTTCACTTTTTATCTTTGTTGAGAAATATATAAAGTACAAAGAGAAGTGGTTTGAAGACCCAGTTTACACAAATGGAATCTTAAAGCAGTTCATGTCTCTTGAGTAAATGTAATGGGTTTATCTTTAAAGAAAAAAAATCCTCTAGGTAATAACAGATTTTTTTTAATTAGGTCATACTCTTTGTAACTGAAGATTTGGTGCCTCACCAATGTGCTGCATCATTTATATGTGATCATGTGTAGTTTCAAAGTTACCTCTTCAAACTACCAATGAATAAAATTAATGTGATGTATAGGCAAATGTCACCCACTTGAATCCTTTATCTGTAATAGTGTTGGGTATGATATAAGCTTTAATTTAGGCATGAACAGAAGCTGGACAGATGAAGATGAGGAGAGGATTGAATTGCAGCCTTGCACATGGAAGCCTGGCACTGTGTTGCAGTCATTGTGAGAAAACTAACCATATGTAAACCGGGATCTGATTGTTGAGAACTCTAAAATTGCTCTGGGAATGTGCAGAGAACGCTTGGTGGGAAACAGACACTCAGTGAAAGCAGAAGCTACTAGCTGCCTTTTTCCTTCCAGTCCTTGTTTATCTCTGTGCATCTTGTCTCTTCCTTGAGAGCACCAATTAGAGAAGAGGAGATAAATGAGAGAGAGACAGAGGGAGGTGGCCTGGAGCTCCTGCTTCCCTGTGTGTTTGGCTGCAGTCCATTCCATCTTTCTCTGCCTGGTTCCAGAGCAACCACTTTTTGCAACAGTCAGAGCATGACTTGCCTGTAGCTACTTTTCAATAGGTGAATGTAATATGTAGCCAGGCCCAAAGTCCACGAACATTCAGCTCCCATTTTTTAAAATATGAGCCTACTTAAAATAAATCAAATTTGAAAAGTTTTCCTGGCAGAATGCCTGGAGTCGATGCTTGCTAGTCATGGTCTGGGGCGGGGGGGAGATGTGTAGAAGTTTGAACTAGTGGGCACCACTCCTACATATGGGCTAGTGATTGTTTTGGAAGATCATAATTGAAATTTCAGGCATGTATATGCCTGTGTTATTTCAGTGGAGTCTGCAAGGAGTGTTTTATAATACAATGTCTGTACATTTATATGTTCATCAAGTTTCCACAGAAGTTCGTTTTGCTACTTTGCTGAAGTTATCTTCTTAAAAACTACTTAATAAAATGTCCACATTTTGTTGCACTTTATAGACCCAAAGGCAGAAACAAGATTGTATATCATGGTGAATGATTTTGAATTTCATGTTTACAATCGCTCTGAAGTGTATTCACGACTTGAGGAACTATTTGGTTTGGAACCAAGCATAATTCCACAGAAGAAAGAAGAAGAAAAAGCAAGAGAAAATGGGAGGGAGAGAACACACTCGGATATTGGAAGGTAGAATTACTTGTTTACTTGAGTTGCTGTCTGAATATTGACTCTTGTCATATTGAGTTCTTGTTTGGTCTAAAAATGTTTAAATGGCAACTGCAAATTGTTTAAAGAGGGCATTTGAACATAAACACCTCTTCTTAGGCTGCTGGGCCAATTAGAAACTTTTTGGACCTTGTAAATGATGAAGATTTGTATTGGAATTTTGCTGGTTGTAGAATGCTGTTCAGAAGGTTGCTTTTCCAACGTAGCCTTAACATGTGTTCTTGTTGTGAACAGATCTACTTCTTAGGATTAAAGAGGTGGCATTTTTAAAGAAATGGTGGCATTACTTTCTGCGTTGCATAATTATTGGCTGAACTATTGTTCTCCTTGTGTTAAAATCCCAGATTTTTAAAAATGCATAGTTCTCATGATCATGCACTATTAAAAGGTAAAATGTGGAAATGAAACTTGCTGAATTAAACACTGTAGCAATAGGAGTAGTTTTAGGTGTATGCCATTAATTTGCTAGTTAATGGCTTGCACATCACAGCTGAATTCTGTTTTTAAAGGTTATTTAAATTGTTTGCATCTGTTCTGTTTCACATTTCCTTTTAGAGTAATTGTAATTAACTTTAGAAGCCATTTCCAGGAGACTGGCGGCCTAAGTGCTCAGAGCATTTCTCAGGCAGTCATTTTAGTGCAAGATATTTCATTTTTACTTAAGTGAAGCTCTCAGAGATAATGCCTTATAATATCTGAAACCATAGTGAGCCAGTGAGATGCTAGTCTAGCTTCCTTGAATCTGGGCTTTATTGGAAAACTGGGGTTTTGCTGGATTTGAATATTTACTGGATTATTGTACTTTTAAACAAGTCCAAGGATGTCTTCCCCGTCTTACAAGCTTTGTGAATGTTTCATAATGACAGAATTTTTAGGACATCTTCCTTGTATATGTAGGATCAACCATGCGGAATTAGTAGTGTAGAAGTCCTCTCTTTTGTCTTGGCATGAAATTTGACAAGAAGGATTGAAATGAACAGCAGTTTTTGGTATATTCCATGGAAAGGCATTTAATTAATTTGATTTATTTATCCAGTAGAGTATTTACAGCTGTTGGAAACAGATACCGTGATTGATATGGAGCCATTGGCTTGTTTCCTATGATTTAATTCCATCTTTGGAAAGCAAGGGGTGATTTCTGCCAGTTTCCTGCCTCCCACTGCAGACCCCTACTGTGCCTCTGTTTGGTTTCTGAAGATCTGCTGACCTTGAGGAACAAAACTTCAGGGGACTTTAGAGAGCTGCGGTGGGAATGGGAAGAAAGGAAGTCCTGTTCTGCAAGTTGGATGCAGGCCAATAAACCCAATGTGCTCATGGGCTGCTATATTTAATGTTAGAGATCATGTATGTAAAAACGTGTATATGGGAATCTATTTCTTTCACTGTAATGGACTAGGCTCTGGTGGTAAGGAAAGTTCCAGATGTGGATCAGAGTTTCTGCACCTGTAAGATGTTGCTAAAGGAGTTTTATAGTGTAGGAGAAATGTAAGTAAGAAGTTCGTGGTGGCTCTGGTTGGTTTCCATATATGATTGGGGTATCAGAGAGTTATTTCTTGCTTATCACTATGTAAATATGATGCTTCCCCCCTAGTGTTAAAGTGAAAAGTGAATCTTATGATCCCTCATCATCGTGGAGATCTCTTATTCCTGTCATCAAAGTCAATGTTAGCACTGTAAGTAAATGCACTCCTGTTTACATTTTACCTGCTTTTTTCTTTTTTCCAATGAGGAAGCAAGCTGTGTATTGAACAGGCTCAGAAGCCTGCCACTGAGATAAGCATTATCTTCAGATTTAATACTTGGATTCTTAAAGGCTTCAGAAGCACTTTCCAATAATGTAGGCTGCAAAAAAGCATTGAAAACACCAGTTCTTTGTCATCTTCTTGTACAAGTAATGTACAAGTATCACATCAAACTATGAATTTCCTCACTGTTTCATTAGCTGTGGCTTATGAAATCAGGGAAATCTACAGAGTGATGACATCACATGTTTGTGACATCACATGTTTGAGTATTTCTAGATTGCATTGAAAAGAATATGACAGTGGTGGTTTTCATCAGCTCCTCATGCTTATTGTAACATTTAATAACAGAGAATAATAGTTCCATAATATATCTGTTTTTTTCACTGCCTGGATTTTAATTTGTGGGTTGCATTTTTGAACCGTTTTAGCTGAATGGAATTTTGTAATAATGGACAATGGAAGACAAAGGGTATAAGTTCTGTAGTTATCCTTCAAAAATAAATTCCTGTGATTACATTTGGCCTTTCCCCTAGGTGGTCATCCACTGTGTTTGAAGGATATAAAAATGTGGATGTGCACTGTTCTGTTATAAATTACTGGTTCAAGTTTACACAAATGGAGCAGTCCCGGTTATGTTTGCTATAACAGAATGTATTCTTTTACCTCATTTCTCATCTATCTCTCTTACTGAGACTCTAGGTAGATAACGTTTTAAAAAATACAGTTTAATACATACAGTAAGCAATGCACTAAAACTGAAATTCAAAAATTGGAAAACAATGCAATAAAAGGGAATAGTACAGTAAAGAGTGCTGTAAAAACTGCCTAAAACTGTAAGATTTCCACAGATATTAAATGTATAATCCTGTTCTTTTTATAAAAAATTATCTCCTGAACATTTTACAGAGCTAGTTGTTGTCAGGGGAAGGGATATAGTTATCTCATGTGTAAATACTGCTGGATCAGTCTAGTGCCCACATTTTAAAAAGAAATTGAAAGATTAGCTGTTCAGACTGTACTATTTGCATATTAAAAGGAAACATCACTTTGAAAGCTGTTTTCACAACTCTGTGTTTTCTGTCTGCATAAAGTATTCATTGATTTACATTTTAGTATAGTGCTGTGTCAATTCCAGAAGTCCATTATTCAAAGATTCCTTTGAGAGATCGTTTCTGTATCTGTACTCCATGTGATAAAGAAGCTGTTTATCATTTTTATATTGCCCAATCTTTGTCCAACCCAGAAGGAAGTTCCTGAGAGAATTGTAAGATAGGTCACTTATAAGAAGAGGCCTGGAGAAAATACAGTTCCTCTTGGGAAATTAATATAAATATGTTCTATACAAAATTACCCTGTTTTCAGTGGTAGTATAGTCACTGTTATGGGTTCATCCCATATAATATCAAATATCATAAACAGAAAATGTCTCATTAACACTAAAGATAATGTCAGATATCATATACAGAAAACAAAATCATAAACAGAAAAGGCAATTAATTGAATTCACTTAAATTGTGATGACCGTTTCATGAAGGGTCATCTCTTGTTTTGTATGTTGTGAATTTTTTTTGTTACAAATTGTGTGATGATGTTTGCTTAAACAGTGAATACAGATTTACATAGCATAAACATGTATAACTGTCCTATTATTCTGTTTATAGAATGGTGTAGTGATTAGAATGTCAGACTAGGATTTGAGTGAACCAGATTCAAATCTGCATTCTGCTGTGGAAACTTGCTGGGTGATCTTTGGCTAGTTCATACCCTCTGAGCCTAACCTCACAGGGTTGCTAAAATGGAAGTGAAGATAATTACATAATCCACTTTGGGTAACCATTGGGGAGAAAGGTGGGGTATAAATGAAGTAATTAAATAAATTACTCTAGCAAAACCCTTCAGGAACAAGTTAAAGTCTTTAAAGGAAGAGCAAGTGTTTTACTTATTTCTTTATCTAGATGACTTCTATGACAAGGATTAAACGGTAACATAATTAACTGTGCTTCTCTTAAATTAGGGTCGTTTGGCGTTTGGGAATCATTACTTGCCTCAGACAATCTGCATTAACTTTGATGATGCTTTCTTAACTTATACGACAAAACCACCTTCAAGTCATCTTGATCACTTTATGCACATTGTAAAAGGAAAACTGGAAAACGTTAGGGTCATGCTTGTTCCAAGTCCAAGATACGTTGGTCTTCAAAATGATGAGTAAGCAATTGCTACTAAAAGCATTCGTTTATGTAAAATATTATGATTGTATTGTAAGTTGCTTTCAGTGTTGATTCTAAAGTGATTTGTCTCAAGACACTGTACACCCTCAAATACGGGGTGGGAATTGGTATTTTATGTATATCTGTGTTTCTCTCTTGATCTGATTACTGAAGATGATCTGTCCCTATGAGCTTAGATTCTATTTTAGTGGGGTAACCATTAACGAATGAAATGTAGGGCAAGGATAATACAACTTTTTTTGGAAAGGCAAATCAAGTCTTCAGCAAAGTAGGAGAAAATTAGAAGTATGGATTTTGCAGTTGATGTAGGTTAAAACTGCATCATTTAGGTGAAGGTGATAATTTCCCCCCACCTACTATGTAATTTCTTTTTTTTGCTGTTTTAAAATGTTGCTGTTTTAAATTAACTAATTTTTTATAAAATCTATTCCAGCGGTCTTGTCTTCAAATGCTTGGTGAAAATAACTCTTAAAAGTTGTGGTATTTCACAGTGCCCGTTTTATTCAGTAAGAACTAAAGTAATGGCACATTATTCAGTACAAGTTACAAATAGATCCTGATGGCAGAATTTATTTATTTACTTTATTATAGCCTGCCTTTCTTGCTGAGAGTTGCCATATCCCCCTTCTCTTGAAGTACTGTTAAGTATGCAGTTCTGCACCTTGTCATATGTGTTGAGTTCCACTGCTGTGGGTGGGTTTAAGTGCATACAGCCAATCCTGCAATTGCAGTCCATTTTAATAAAACATGTTTAACTCCTTGGGTGGACCTATTATGAAATGGAAATAATACAATGTAGGCATTCTCCACCTTAAGAACTACAAGCAACAGATAACCCACACATGCAGCAGTGAGTGGGCAAATGAATAAGCCATACTTTATCCAGAATTTTGACTGATGGGTGCTAACATTCTGAGAAGCATTTTCTATACAAATGGCTGAAAAGAAAATGACTCAACAGCAACTTTATAGTTGCCTTTTCACAGTATAGTAGAGTACATATCTTACACTTTTTATCTTTATCAGACCACCAAGATTAATGGGAGAAGGCTTCGTTGTGATGCAATCCAATGATGTCGATATCTACTATTATATGGATGAACCAGGTAATTAGTGAATTTATGATTAAGGTGTCAATCTTAATATCAGTTGTGGAAGCTCAATTCCATTCAACTAACCTCACTTTAAACTTGCGTAACCAGGATCAGGATAAGCAGCTGTCTGTCTTTAGAAGATTCTATAGATTTAGATTTGAGTCTAGCAGCACCTTAGAAACCAACAAAATTTTGGGGGGTATAAGCTTTCAAGAATCAAAGCTCCCTTCATCAAACTCTGACAAAGGGAGCTTTGAGTTGCAAAAGCTTATACCTCCCAAATCTTGTTGGTCTGTAAGGTGTTACTGGACTTGAATCTAGCTGTCCTACTGCAGACCAACGTGGCTACTCTCTGAAGCTATAGAATATTTGATATACACCCCACAACTTTAAACCAGTATGTTCAAAACATTTATTTATTCAAGCTGATAACAGTAAAATTGAGATCATTGGGTGGCTGTCGTCAAGCTGTGGTCTCTCAGCCTTATTCCCCCCACCCCCAGCTGTAATTGTGGATAATACTGAGCTGTTATAAAGATCATAGATAACGGTGTGAAATAGTTTCAGTATGCTATCTGTTATGCAATACTGTCTATTAAAACATTCACTTTCTAAGAGCAGGTGTTATTTTTTGTACTTAGTATGTTGGACAGTACTTCACTCTGCCTTGATACTTGCTACAGTAAAATTTTGGATGGTTACTCTTTTCAACACTTCAGGCCCAAGAACATATACAGAAGTGATGTAGTCCTTGCTGATAAGTGCAGGGAAGTTAAGGCTGGAGTAGTTTAGACATGGTTTGGCTAAAGGTGGGCCCTTAGGAATGAGAAATTGCTAAATAAGGTTAGGTATTTATCTAAGAATTTATATCCCATGCTATCCAAGTTCAAGACAACTTGAAGTCATTCACAGATCAAAGCCAAAAATGTTGTCAGTCTGTGTGATGTTCAATAAAATCACTACCAAGTGCACAAAAACGTATACCTTGAATAAAACTTTGTTCATCTTTGTTGTAGTCTCTGGGTATCCCACCGGTGGAAATAGGGTGCCTGTGCCTGACCCAACTGGTAACTTCTAAAAGCTCTAGGAAACTCCTTTTCCCACTCTCCGCCCTCAAGGCATGTGCAGGGCCCCACTGTGAATGCCTACAGGGGTGGAGCTCTGATGTCCCACCAGTTCTCTTCTGACTGTCATGCCGAGCAATCATTCTTTGTCCCGGTTAGTGAAGTTCTCACATCATGAGATTAGCTCATTTCTCTCAAACTTCTTCTAGATTCCTTTTCCTTCTAAATTTCATCTCTACAAAACAAAAAACCAATGAAAGCGCTCTTTTGCCCGACTCCTTCTTTCCCCCCCTCCTCCATGACCTCACACCCTGTTGTCTATGAAAAACTTTGGGGTTTCTTTAAACGTTACAAGTGCAGGAGCAAACTCACCCCCCAGGCAGACACTCGTTTTGCCTCCATTGTCTGAGAGAAAGTCATCACACCCATTCATGCACACACTGTGTGAAATCCTCCTGCCAACCCCCCAAAAATAGTGCAGCAAGACTCCAAGTGGCACTGATTGAGGCTGTTCTGTGTCCCACACAGATGGCCACTTCCACACATCAAGAACCAGCGAAATCAACCCCAGGGCCTTCGACACTCCAGTCAACACAGTGTATTGACCATCAGCCTGGCTCAGGGCCAACCCTGGCTCAGGGCCAACCCAACACCAACCGCTCGGTATCAAAGTGTTCAGACTTGATGGGGAAATCAAGCCTCTCAACACCTGCAAAGATGCGCAGGGAGGGCAAAAGTGACAAGACAGGCAAGGCTCCTAAGCCCAAGTCTTGACCAAAGCCTCGGCCTAAGAGTCCCCACCATGACTCTTCTAACTTGTTGCTCATCAACCCAAGAGGATACTCATCACTGGCACCGATCCTTGTCCAGGAGACGCCGCCTCTCTGCTTACTGGTCTGTCCCATTCATTGGTTGGGCTTCCTGGTGGACGCCTCCTCCTCAACACAGCTGCCTCCTCCCCTCTTCTTGGCATCGGAGGCAGAAGAGACTGATCTAAGTCAAAGGTTGTCACACCTTTCCTCGTCCCAAGGCTCATCCAGTGAGAGCAGTGCTTGATCGAAATCTGTTGGTGCTGAGGACCATTGGGATTGAAGCCTAGTCAAACCAAGGGACCAGCAGCGTTTCCCTGTTCTCAAGATCAATCACCTTATTGCCATTAATATACCTTGCCAACCTTCTAGGTTCCTCAGGCTCATACAATGGTTCCCTGGGATCAGTGCCAGCTGCAACATCTGTATGGTGCCTATTCTCTTCACTCAGTGATGCCAGGGCTACTCTTCCAACCACAAAGCTGGGATCAACGGTACCTCTATTCCCATTGGACTTGATCCCCATCAAAACCGGTACCTCCTTCTTCAACCTCAGGACAATTGACACCAAAGAACCGTACACATACGTGCAAGGGGCACAGAGCCCCTCACACTGAATAAGTGCTGCCCCGCCACCAAAACCCAATAAGCTAAATCAACATACAGAAGGGGGTGCAGCTCCTATGATCACCAAGAAATAACAAGAAAGCTGCAATCGTGTAAATGCGCTTATATTCTTACAAAAGTGTACTTATGTTCTTACAGCAATACAAAAATACAAAGAATCTTATTACAGTATATTATGTCTATAATATTTCAATCCCAGATGTTCAATTTCAGATGTTGACGAAATTCTCCGGAGTAGAACCTTCATTTTGTAAGAACTTCCTCCAAACATCAAATACCTTTTATAAAATACAATGTGTAGTAATTATCTCATTATTTAAACACTGTACCAAAAAGCTTTATATTGTTAAAAATATACATACAGTTGTATCTCCTCATTTCAAACTTCATTCCATGATTAGTTCATTGTTCATTATCATTCCTCAATTTCTATGAATAAATCATATTACTATCATTAGTTATACATCTAATGGTATGTAACAGATTCCAACATTAAAAAATTATGTAACATGTTACCCCAAAAGGTAGAACATTTTATTGCAAGACAAATTCTTTCAAAATCACGGGCAAACACGTTCAATAACAAGCAACAGGTGTAGATAGTCACCTTCTATTTAAATCTGTAGCATCTCTTGTCTTAAAGGTGCAAACCCCATATCTTGCAATTGACCAGGCATTAAGACAGAGAAACGGGAAACCAAAACCCAAAGCGCCTCCACCTGAAGCATCTCCCTCTACTTGGGACCGTGCCTCGGTACCTGATCTTTCTGGCTCAGGCTCAGAGGCCCCTGAGACCTGTTCGGATAAGGAGACTGACAGAGATGGCTCTGATCTTCATTCCTTCCAGATGGAATTGCCCTGTACCCAGGTGACCAAGAATCTCCCCATCTTCCCATCAGAGTACCTTAAGTCTTATGGGGAACTGATCAGATGCATGGCACACACTCTGGGACTCTCTGTTGTACAACCCCAACCAGCAATCACAGACTCTGTTTTTGACATATTGCAGCTTGACACTTCTACAGCCATTGCCCTGCCAGTAACCAACGTTATTCTTCAGACAGCTAAAGCACCATGGGATAAGCCCTCATCCATGTCAATTTCATCCAGATGTCTGGATCATATGCATAGGGTCCAAGACATTGGGACTGAATTTCTTTCCTGTCATCCTAAACACAACTCAGTGGTAGTAACCTCCACTTCCAAGAGTAAGCATACCCACTCAGCTCCCAACAACAAAGAAGGCAAGCAACTTGATGCTTTTGGTTGAAAGTTTTATTCTGCTGAAGCCATAGGGGTCAAAAACACAAATTACTTGGCCTGCATGGGCAGAGTCCAATACTTGTTTTGGGATACTGTCCTGCAAGAGATGGACAAAAGTATCAAAACCTTGTGCAGGCTGGGCGTAACAGGTCCGCCCTGCTCATCCAAGGGCAGGTCATGCTCACATCCATGGTCAAAATGACAGTATTCCAAGTTGTCTCCAGATCAGTCTTGGAGGAACAAGCAACCTCAATCCAGCACTAGATCTTCGTACACAAAGCCCAAATTCCAGTCCAATCAACAGCCACCTAAATATAAGGGGCCCCGCAACCCCCAAGCAGGGCCTTTGACTCCTCTACTCCCTCCCCATTGCTGCCACCCACATCTATACTGCTCAAACACCGCCACCCCTCAGAAACATGCATATTTCCTTTTATTTTGGCGTGGAGGCGCATCACATCAGATAAATGGATGCTCTTTATTGTTGCCCATGGTTATGCAATAGAGTTTCTTTAAACACCTGCGACACTGGTCTTCATCACCACCCTTCTCTCCGTCTTATGGGAAGAGGTCCAAATCCTTCTGATGAAGGATGCCATCAAAGCTGTCCCCCGGCTTCCACGGGCCTTGACTTCTATTCCTAATACTTCACTGTTCCCAAAAAGGATGGTGGACTTCATCCCATTATGGACCTGAGTGCTCTGAACAACAACAATGGAAAGTATATTTATTGTGTACCACAAATTCTGAATTATTTCCCTATGAAGCATCCTACTGCTTCTCAAGACAGGGGCCTGGATGGCTACATTGGACCTCCAGCACACTTTCTTCCATCTGAATATTTGCCCCCACCACAAGCAGTTCCTGAGGTTTGCAATAGGAGGCGACCACTATCAATACAAAGTACTTCTTTTTGGGATCTCCACAGCACCAAGAGTTTTCACAAAGATGATGGTTGTTGTGGCGGCTTACCTATGTCTCCAAGGGATGACAGTCTAACCATACATAGGTCCAATCTGCATTGGTATTTCCCACCATTGTGCAAATGATCTCACATCGTCTCACAAATTTCTGTCTACATTTCATGCCGCATCCACTCTCCTATTGTTTCATCTTAGCATCAGCTGTCTGCATCATTTTATTGCCATTTAGTAGTGACTCCAAGGTAACTACGGTGTCTCACCATCTTATCTGAATGTGGTTTTAAGGTGGTACAACTGCTCCTCCTCACCGTCAAGCCACTGTGAGC